AGCTTTGCTCCATGACCCAGTACTATGTCAATGGCCAGATCTCTCGGTGGGGCACTCAGCCAGTCAAGGGGGTCGGCATAACCCGGGCGTCTCTGTGCCTCCCTCAAGGATACATTGTGACCCGATGCCATTCTCCTCTCTTCTTCAGAACAAGCAAACTGTGGGACTAGGAGTGTGACGTCCACTTGCGGATGTTTGGCCAACAGAATGGCAAGTTGTCTGTTTATGGTGGACAAGCCTCCCATTGACGAACTCCATTCACTGCCCAGAAGAGTCACCCTCAGTGCTGTGTTAGACGTAATTGGAATAATTTCAGCTGCTGCACCCTGTGATTTGGCGGTGACATTTGAAGACCAAGACCCCTGGGCAAAAAAGAAGAGGTCATATAAGGTTTTATCACAGATATAGCATCATAAGGTTTGGGTATGCTCCTTCTCATTTATAATGAGAAGTTTAGTAACATGGTACACTGAGAAATATAACCCATGAAATAAATTTATCTTGAAAACAAATGTCCGACTTATCTTTGAAATTGGAGTCATATTAACTATAATCACATTGTGCACACTTACTAGAATACATTTAATGTTCAAAGAAAGAGAATCGAGGAGAGCGATAGAAAATACGAATCAGTGAGAGAGAAAAAAAAAACACTATAACTGGAAATACCTGGTTTGTTCCTCTCGAGAACCACTTTTGAAGTCCACTGATGGTGAGTTCTTCATCCCAGATATCTCGACTACACATTGTTGGGTTACCCTTATTTGCATCAACAAGATGAAAGCAGTCCTTGTGTGTGCAAGTGGTTTTGATGTAGTCTGAGCATGGTTGAAGTGGTTCCTCTGTCCCTTGATGACAATATGGACAAGCAACACACAGCTTATACTGCAGTCCCCTCAGGTAGGGCAGTTCCTGAGGCAAAGCCTGTAGAGTTGCTTCAAGAAATTCACGAACGAAAGTTGCTAATTCAGCTGTGTTCTGACCCACAACCTGATAACTTTGCTTCTTTCGTCGCAATATTATCTTGATGAATCCTGTTTTGCAAATGAGGACAAAATCATGAATACCTTTCCCAATCATGAACCGTGCTCCATTTTGGTACAGGGTAGGTTGATGCATGTGTGGCCATGTTGCAGCACACCAACGAATGGATCGTGAGACAAGGTGTAAGAACAGACCATGTGGGACAAAGCCATGCATGAAGAGAAGATACACTGGACATGGATCAGTTGATGATGGCTTCAACTTTACGAGCTTGTCGGGTGATGACTTCAGCTGAGCTGGTACAAAGTACTTCACATTATTTGGAGAAACAGAGAACTTAGCAATTAAACCAAACTGCTCCATCATGCCTAGGATATCATCTTTGATGATACCTTGTCCAATAAAACTGGAGAAAACATGATCAA